TTAGTCTAGTTTTTTTTTTTTATAGATATAATATGCCCCTCTATTATGTCGTTTTATTAAACATGCCCTTATACTATTTTTTACATCAAACATGCTCTTGTACTTTGGAAAAATTATCAAACATGCCCTTCTGTTAAAAATTTCATTGAAAAAATAGACAATCATGGTTGAACCGAGGTTTAGACGACCCGATATCTGCAAATGGGAGGGAAAATGTCAGTTTTGAATCCTGTTTTATTTCTCTGGGTCGCGTCAAAGTGAAATTATTAGGATTATTTGGCTATACAAAAGAACCAAAAAATTTCTAAAGTGAAATTATTGGGGATATTTTAGACATTTGAGCGGCCCAAACTAAAGTTTGGTCATGGTTAACGATTTATGGATGAAAATTTTAACAGAAGGGCATGTTTGATAATTTTTCCAAAGTACAGGGGCATGTTTGATGTAAAAAATAGTAGAGGGTCATATTTGATAAAACGACATAGTAGAGGGGCATATTATACCTATAACCTTTTTTTTAGTGACTGTTTAGTCTAGTTAAAAAATATAAATAAAGTGGCAAAAAAAGAGGGTAGATAAATAAAAAAAGGAAGGGGGAGAACGCTGAAAAGTGATAGTGGGAGAGGGGCAAAGAAATTATATAAAAACATAAATAAAAATTAATTTTTCATAATACCAAAACTATCCCTATCACTTTAAAACATCATTGTAAAAAAAACTTATAAAAAATCGCTCCTATTATTTAACTATTAAATTTCTGTGTCGAGATCTGACTGTTATAAGAGACTTAGTCACTATATCCGCACTCCTACGACAATCGCTGTCAAGAACCAGTTGCTCCCAATAACTCGAGTTGGGAGAGGGTTCTGCTGGATCTTATACCACACTCTAACACGCCCCCTCAAACGAAAGCCAACCCATGGGCTTGAAGTTTGCACAGGCCCACCATACCATGTGCTTGAAAGACAACAGTTAATATTGGTGGTCGTGGAGATTCGAACACGTGACCTTTTGGTTCGAGGCTCTGATACCATGTGAGATATTGATATGAATGGAAAAGCATGATCTCATTGATTGAGACGTTGGTCTCTTATACAGATTACAGGAGGGATTGATGGAGGTTTGTTACAAGTGGTTGCAAGAAATTAGCTACCACTACTCTACAGCTCGTGGACTACGGGAAGGTTAGTTACAGGTGGCCCACTGACTGAGCTGTCCTCTCCACGGCGCCCAAAGATGGTCTGTCAATACTGTGAGAAACCTGGCCACTCTGTACGCCAGTGTTTTCAGTTATTTCCTCAAGCGAGACAGGCGTACCGAGCTCGACAGGCCCAGGTCCACGCTACATCCGCAGGCCGAGCCCCGCCCCCAGGCCCATGGCTCCTCGATTCTGCAGCCTCCCACCATGTCACGTCCGACTTAGGCAATCTCTCTCTGTAATCCGACTACAATGGTCCCGATGAAATTCTCGTTGGCGACGGTTCAGGTTTAAAGATTACTCACATTGGCTCTTCCCATCTTGCCAATTCGTCGCATTCTTTTACTCTACAAGATGTTCTTTGCGTTCCTACTATCAAGAAACGTCTTATCTCTGTTGCCAAGTTATGTCGCACTAATCCAGTCTCGGTGGAATTTTTTGCTCATTGTTTTGTTGTGAAGGATCTTCGCACGGGGGCGCCGCTGATGAAAGGGGAAAATAATGGCGATTTATACGAGCTGCCCAATGATCTACACACCGTCCGCCCTGCCCTAGTCACTACCCGCACCACCGCCTCTTCCTGGCACTCCCGCCTTGGCCACCCTTCACCCCATTCGTTGAGTAGTCTCCTTCGCACTCAGTCTCTTCCAGTCACCACTGCTACTGTCACTAGTCACTGTGACTCTTGTCTTTCCAATAAAAGTCACAAACTCCCGTTTTCAGTTTCCTCCCTTTCCAGCAATCGCCCATTTGATTTATTGTATACTGATGTTTGGGGCCCAGCTCCTGTCTCTTCAATTGATGGCTATTCTTATTATCTCATTATCATTGACCATTTTTCCCGCTATACTTGGTTTTACCCACTGCGCCGCAAATCTGATGTGCTTAACGTGTTTCTTGCCTTTCGCAAAATGGTCGAAAACTACTTTTCCACGACCATTAGACGTCTCTATACTGATGGTGGTGGTTAATTTCAGAAACTACAATCTACTCTTGCCGATCACGGCATTAGTCACTTACTCACACCACCGCATACTCCTGAGCACAACGGTTTAGCTGAGCGTAAACACCGCCATCTTGTTGAGACTGGTATCACTCTTCTCCATTTTGCAAAACTCCCCACCATTTTCTGGTCCTTTGCCTTCTCCACCGCCATTTACCTCATCAATCGCCTCCCATCCTCTGCTCTGCGTGGTCAAATTCCCTATACCGTATTGTTTAATCTACCCCCCAACTATCACAAGCTCCGTATCTTTGGTTGCTTATGTTATCCATGGTTACGTCCTTACTCCTCCAATAAACTTGATCCCCGCTCACGTCCTTGTCTCTTTGTTGGCTATTGTCCCCAACGCAGTGCATACCGCTGCTTTGATCCGCGCACTAACCGTATTTTTTTGTCCCGTCATGTGGTGTTTGTAGAACACACATTCCCTGGCCACTCGCCCACTACTCCCTCTGCTGGAACACCTACTGTTGCTGATTGGGTCATTGACTCCTCCCCCACCATTACCTCGCTCCCTTTCACTCCATCAGGCCCATCACCCCCTACAGGCCCAACTCCCCAAACTGGGCCAGCTCTGCCATCTTCCCCCTCAGCGGCGAGCAACTCCCCTGCAGAGACCCCTTCCACGACATCAAGTGAGGACTCTGGGCCAGCCTCGGCCCAGTATCAAACTCCTTCACCCAGCACTGCTTCTCCGCTGGGCCCGCCCTCTCCACCGGCCCGGCCCGCTCCCATGGTCACCAGGTCTCAACACGGCATCTTCAAGCCCAGGAAACTATTTTCAGCTCTTGTTGCTAAAATTTCTGCAGGTACGCCGCCTCTCCACCCACAATCAGTCCGCGAGGCTCTCAAACACCCCGAGTGGGCGGCTGCGCTTCGTGCCGAGAACTCAGCTCTCATTGCCAACATGACCTGGGATCTCGTGCCGAGGGAGCCGCATTTCAACGTCCTCGGCAACAAATGGCTCTATCGGGTGAAGCATTGCCCAACGGTACCATCGAGAGATTTAAAACCCGCCTCGTCGCAAAAGGGTTTCATCAACGCCCCGGCGTCGACTTCCACGACACATTCAGTCCGGTGGTCAAGCCTGTCACTGTCCGCACCGTCTTCGCAATAGCCCTCTCCCATAATTGGCCAATTCAGCACTTTGACGTCAATAACACCTTTCTACAAGGCCCCTTGCAAGATGAAGTATACATGACCCAACCGCCTGGATTTGTTGATCCCCAGCATCCCCACCATGTTTTCCGTCTCCGCAAGGCCATATATGGCCTCCGGCAGGCCCCGAGGGCGTGGTACACGGCTCTCGGTTCATTTTTGCTCGACTTCGGCTTCAGCAAGACACAATCCGATGCTTCTTTGTTCGTCTACCACCGTGAAGGGGTACTACTCTACTTTCTCGTCTATGTTGACGATCTCTTTTTGACTGGTAACAATGCATAGGTGCTTTCTACATTTCAAGCGGCCTTGGCTCACAAATTTTCACTCAAGAATCTGGGCTCAGTCTCTTATTTCCTGGGAATAGAAGTTATTCCCACAACTACAGGGTATATCTTATCACAACACAAGTACATGTCGGATGTGCTAGCAAGGTTTCAAATGTTGGATGCTGCACCAGCCACCACTCCACTAGCCTCGTCCACTGCCTTATCATTACATGATGGTTCCCCGCCGACAGATGCGACCCGCTTTCGTCAAGCCCTTGGTGCGTTGCAGTACTTAGTCTATACCCGTCCGGACATAGCGTTTGCGGTCAATAAATTGTCCCAATATATGCATGCACCTACCACCGTGCATTGGCAGTGTTTACAGCGGCTCCTCCGCTATGTTCGTGGCACCATCACCTTCGGCCTCGCTGTTCGAAAATCTCCGCTGCCACTGCAGCTCTCTGCCTTCGCTGACTCAGACTGGGCGGGCAACCTCGACGATAGAACATCTACCTCAGCTTACCTTCTCTATCTAGGCACAACGCTCATCTCCTGGAAATCTCAAAAGCAAAGGACAGTCGCCCGATCCAGCACTGAAACAGAGTACAGAGCCATAGCACATGCCACTGCCGAACTCGAGTGGGTTCAGAACCTCCTTGTTGAGCTTCACCAGCCGCTTCGTGCACCTCCCACACTTTACTCCGACAACCTTGGTGCAACCAGCTTCAGTTCCAATCCGCAATTCCACTCCAGGATGAAGCACCTAGCGCTGGACTTCCACTTCGTTCGACATCTCGTCCAAGCTGGTCGGCTTCATGTTCAATATGTACCCACTACTCAGCAACTTGCGGACGCCTTGACCAAGCCATTACCTGCTACTCGCTTCCTCCTCCTGCGCATCAAGATTGGAGTCATTGACACTACCTCCATCTTGCGGGGGCGTGTTGGAGATAAAGAAGGAACTTACTTGACCACTTCTCCACCTGTAACTAACCTTCCCGTAGTCCACGAGCTGTAGAGTAGTGGTAGCTAATTTCCTGCAACCACTTGTAACAAACCTCCATCAATCCCTCCTGTAATCTGTATAAGAGACCAACGTCTCAATCAATGAGATCATGCTTTTCCATTCATATCAATATCTCACAATTGCTACCATCAAACTGACTTGATCTTCAACTTGTCCACTTCTCACTCCTTAATCCCCATTCTCCTGCAACGACCATGAGTGGGAGTGGGACACCCTAGAGGTTCCCTACTGCCGCTCCGACCATTGCCTCTACAAGGTCAACTACGACGATGGGCCTTTCGCATTCAATGATTTCTTTACCAATTGGCGATTTCGACAATATAAATCAGTTTAACTCCGATTAAACCATGATTTAATAATAATAGAATAACATATCATTGATTTTTCAATACAACATCTAATTCGATTTTACAATCTTTGGTTTTCTCATCTCCAACAGAAAAATAAATTTTTAATTAATGAGATGTAATATTTGAATGACATTACTCACGAAGGGCCGCCGGTTTTCACACGATACACGGAGCTGATGAATGGGATCACTGACACTCGGAAGGAAGTGAGGCTGTTGAGGATGATGTGTGTGATAATGTGGTTTTGAATCACTTGAGGAGTGACCCATGATGCGGCAGATTTGTGGAACGGGACGAGCAATTCGATTAGCCTGACCAGAGTGGCTTTTCTGGATGAGGTCATTGCAGAGGTGAACTTGTATTACATTGGACAATGGAAGGTGAGGATTGGGAGGTTTATGGGGCAATATGTGTTTGCTTCTTGGCAGTCACCGACGCTTTTGACTGCAGTAATGATCTTGGTTTTGATGGCGTTCAAAGTGTTCTGCTCGCTTTATAACCGGGGTATCGTATTCTCGGTATCAAGAGGGGCCTACTTCGAAAATTAGGAGTTAGCTTGCATTTGAAGGTACTGGCCATGGCTGCTGTAGCAGCATTGTAGTAGTACTACGAATATACTTGATATCACCAAACCAGAAAACTCAAAAATTTGCCTCGCCTAGAATCTTCACTGTTCAAGTAAAACATATTTACCCGTGCACAGCTTCTTTCCCATGCGAAGAAGCATGAAGTGCTAGTTGATGTATTTTGCTGAAATCTCTCCGCAGCATTGCCTCTTTACTGAATATGGCATCTGACAGAACGACTGCTGAAGCTCCAGCGGTTATATAGTCCCCTAAAGAATCTGCATTGCATACAAAATCACAGGGAATGAAAAGCTGAGCACCAAAAAGAGATAAGTGCAGAAAAGAAAACTCCCGAAAATCACCGGAAAGCATGATATTCATACAGAAAAAGGGTGCAACACCTGTTGTTATTCCTTGAGAAGCAACCATTGGTATATCGGAGAAAGGCTTCTTGAGGGCTGCAATGTACTGGACTCCACCCAATGCAGAAACAGGATATACCTAATTCACGGAATGAAAAGAGTAAACATCGTCGTAGGACGTTACTCGTGCAAAGCACCTAACTTACACAGAATGCATAGAAAGGAACACAAAAAACAAATATTAGACATGGAAATGTGTCAGAAACACAATTATATATTGTTTCTATTATTATATTAGGTAGGATAATGATAATTATGGTTAGTAGAGATTCAGTCGGATTAGGATTATTATTAGGATTTCCGGGTATTATCCTATAAATATGTACTTTGGGTTTACGTCATAATCAATCAAGAAGAATATCAAGAAGAATCTCCTAAACCCTAGTTATCCTCTCAACTCCTAATTTCTCGTCTCATCCTAGTCCAAGGCCTCGGCCGATTCCCAATTCTATTCTATCTCATCTAAATCCCTAATTCTTTCTCTCAAACCCTAAATCCCTAATTATCACGAGTGCCGAAGATCAGTATCGAGAATCCCTAGAAGCGTGGTTCTCACAATTGGTATCAGAGCCTGGTTGCAGGCACTCGTACCAGAACCATGTCGAGACTCGAAGAGCTCGTGGCCAGCGAACTCACAAAGATGTTGAAGTCGAAGCTAGAAGCGCTGTGGAAGAACGAGGTTACCTCATTCTCGCCGCTGTCCAGTAGTATTCCGCGAGAGGCTCCACTCAAAATCACAACCGCCGCGTCCAAAGAACCAAGAGTGGCGGCCGAGAAGACAGCTGCAGCAGCAGTTGCTGTTCCGGTTACAGGCACCCAAATCAGAATCATGTCCAGTTCTCAAGAGCACGAGTTGGAGGAAGTTGATCGAAGGCGATTCGCGGAAATAAGACAATTGCTGGCACAACTAGCGTCGTGCGATTGGAACGACGAGGAGGATGACTGGTTGGACGACAACAAAGACGACGATGTGGTGGCAGACGAGAAAGAAGTCGTTGATGAGGAGGAATCGGATCCGACGGAGTTCTCGCCGCCAATCACGGCAGCATCCACCACCATCTTTGACCCGCCGCAACTTTTGGTAATCACGATCGAGCAGCCGATGAAGGAAACTGCAACTGCTGATATTCCTCCACCCATCTTGTCGAAGGCCACAGCTGCAGCAACGATGTTGCTATCCAAATCGGCAGAGGGCAAGGAGCAGCCAGCTTTGAAAGGAACTCCAACACCACCATTAGTTGCCCCTGCTGCTGTTCCAAGCAAAGAGAAGACGTTTGTCTTTGAGAGAGAACCCAAAGATGAAATTCCAGGGAGAAGAGCAACGCCAAGTCGAGTAGCAAATTGGAGATTCCGGAAGAAAGAAGAGAAGAAATCGAGAGCCGGAGAGAGAGATTGGGTGGCCGATGCGCCCCGTCTCTCTGCTTTTCCCTCATCGCCACTAGTCAATTCCTTAGTCGAAGACCAATGGAGGGTGATAACCCAACGGGCTAAATCGTTGGCATCGCAACCAGCCACGGGAGCACCGCAGTCGCCGATGGCGAGCGGGTATGCGGCGGAGCTAATGAGGGAGTGCGTGGGCTCGAGCTTGGCTCCGCGCCGCGGAGTTGAAGTCTTGCCAGAGAGGGGAATCGCGCGAAGGGAGCAGGCTTCGGATGTCATGGGTTCGGAATCTCCTCGAAGTCGTCGGGAAAATGACACGTCTGCGAAGGATTTGAAGAAGAGGAAGCACGGCGGCGGATTCCTCTATTCGTCGAGGAAGGAGAAGAAGGAGGAAGCAAGGGATGGATCGGTGGCCTCACCGCCGTCCCGGACAGCATCGTCGACCGGGAGAAAGAAGAGTCGGCGAGTGCTGGGGGTTCCGACCAGAGAATGGCCGCTGTCGGGGGAAGAAGCAGAGCAATCACCGAGGGATCGCTCGCCGGCGGAGAAGTATTTGAAGAAAAAGAAGTGCGATGGCGGCGGGATGCTCTGCTCGTCGCCGATGGGTGGGATGAAGAGGAATGGCAGCAGCGCCTCCTCTCCCTTAGCTACCGACGACGAGTCGCAATCGGCGGAGAAGAAGTCGTCGGGGAAGCTGGCGACGAGGGCGGAATTGAAGACGGCGGCGGATTCGCGCTGGCCGCCGTGCCGACGAAAGGACGGCGGGTCGCCGGGAAGAGATGGAGCAAGGAAGAGAGAAGGCGGGGGCAGGTTTCCTTCTCTTTGTGCAACCCTAGGCCGCTTCATCAAAAGCCCAGAACAGTTGGGCCGAGTTGTGGTTCGTTTTGCTGGATCCACTTTGGGCCGAGACATTCAGGTTGCATTCGCAAATGGAATGGAGCAAGGGGGCCAAGAGCTAGCAATTGCTGGGCTCGTCCAAGAATGGCCAAATCAGCAAAGTGGGCCGAATTTGAGGGGGCAGATTGAGCCCAACATGGTTTGGGTATGGAAGAAGGAAGAGGAAGAATTGTTCGTTTATGGGACACGTGACGTGTGTCAAGAAATTCGAGAAGAATTGAAGAACGTTGGAGTTGAAGAAGTCATTCGTGAGTTGGAACGCAATTGGAAACGAAGAAAGCGGAAGGTCAAGGAGGTTGAAGTCAACTACAACCTTGAGGTCAAGGTTGTTCTCAAGGGGGATGGATTGTCAGAAACACAATTATATATTGTTTCTATTATTATATTAGGTAGGATAATGATAATTATGGTTAGTAGAGATTCAGTCGGATTAGGATTATTATTAGGATTTCCGGGTATTATCCTATAAATATGTAGTTTGGGTTTACGTCATAATCAATCAAGAAGAATATCAAGAAGAATCTCCTAAACCCTAGTTATCCTCTCAACTCCTAATTTCTCGTCTCATCCTAGTCCAAGGCCTCGGCCGATTCCCAATTCTATTCTATCTCATCTAAATCCCTAATTCTTTCTCTCAAACCCTAAATCCCTAATTATCACGAGTGCCGAAGATCAGTATCGAGAATCCCTAGAAGCGTGGTTCTCACAAAATGATGCCCTTATCAATATGGCCGCCCCACATTCAAACACATCAGAGTTTGGAGGATTAGTTGAATCTATTTTTTAACTTGACAATCAGAAACGTAATTGCATAAATGTTCACCTTGACAATACTAGCACCGCCATTGTATGCACACAGTATCTGTAAAAGCAAAACTATATGCTAGTGTTACAATTCCTTAAACTAGATAAGTCAACCGGGAAAGCAATAGCTGAAGAGTCCTAACTGGACTAAGTTTCTTACTTCTGTTGGTGTCATTACACCAGGTATGTAAAGAACTTCAGTACCTTGAACAACATTCATAACATCCTAACAAACACAACGAATTCTGTCACGAAGAAAGAATTGGAAAGGAGATCTCTGAAATGAGCGAAAAGTACGGGGAAAACCCCGGGAGTCATGCTGTTCTCCGATTACAAATTCCCATACCTTCACAGTAGCAGGGCTCATGAGGAATCTGGCTCCAGCATTCATTGCATTTATGGCATCCGCAACACTTAAAACTGTGCCAACCTATGAGAATACTATCAGAAACGTGACGTTCAATTATGAAATGCTTGAGAGTATATAACTCAGGATGAATCTGGGATGTAGTAAACCCTGAAAATCATGGCTCATTGTTTCAAGAAAATTCTCTTCCTTGACCAAATCATGAGTGAATCCCATTAAATGCCGAGAGGATTAGGAAGGGATCTTACCCCTAAGAATGCTGCCGGGTATGCCTCAACCAAGCGTTTCAAAACCTACAAAGCCATTATTCAATGCAAGAAGCACAGAGATTGGAACTCCATTGAATCACCAAACAGAAACAAAAACAAAAAAACTAAAATTAAGCCGGGAAAAGTTCATATATTAAAGACAGCAAAAAACAACCTGAAACACACCTGGGGTTGACATCGTAATCTCCAGCTGCCAGTTGATAAAAAAAAAGCACCATGAGCATACTGTATTATTGTAAGAAGTGCAAAACCCAAAACAGGCCAATAACCCATCAAAGACTCCTCCTTTATCCTAATTTGAGAAGAATTCTGATAGCCAGAATCTTTCTGCTCACCATTACCCCAAAGGGCCGACAGAGATTTAGTAAAGGGGACTCACAACTGAGATGCCGCCATCCAATGCAGCAGAAGCAGCTTCAAAAGCAATCTCCGCACTGAAATTTAAAAGATGATCAATGAACCAGGCAGCAAGACAACTATGAACTCAATTAGCGAGGATCAGCAAGTTAGTTTACCAGGAGGAGCGAAGGCAGGCAATGATGCCAGAACTCTGAATTGCGGATAAGGTCGCTGTTTTGCTGCTGCCACTGCCAGAAGTGACAGCGGAAGAAGAGAGCCGAGAAGAGCAGCAGGATACTCTTGAGAAAGGTATGGATTCTTGCGGCGGCGGCGACGGCGACGGCGGCGGAATTAGAGGGAGCGACCACCGTGACGGTGAGAGGTAGGCACTTGCTGCACCCATGTCCATGACCGACAGTGCCTACTCCCCCACTTCGTTCTAACGATTGGAGGCAATCCTCGACCTGCGGGTTTTATCTGGTTTAGTCCTTTTACCCCCTGAAGTAAGCAACATATTCAAACAACTCCAGTTTTTATAAGTTTTATATGTTTTGGTCTTTGATTAATTCCCATTTTCTCAAATCGCCTGTTCTATTACATTTTCAGTTCATTTTGACATTTTCTATTGACATTCTTTTCACAGAATTCGTACGTCATTCCAATAAAGTAGTTATAGCTCATATGATGACCAGCAAAAACTTGAAGGTTTCTGTAGGCAGAACTCAATATCTACAAACTGCAATTTGCGCTATCTATTGAGAAAAAGAAGACACCAAAATCCAATATTTCGCAGTAGAACAACTGCATAATCAAATCCCAATGCATGTTTACTCTGTTGAGAGCCTTCTTTTTATGTTTCTTCCCGCTTTCTTCCTTTCAGGTTTCAGCAGGCTTCGTCACTTTATACAGTTTCCCAGGTTCCATACTGTGAGCTGAAGCTCCCGCCACCATTCTGTAATGCATACTCGGTAATGACTTGTCTTGCACAAACATCCCAACTCCTCGCTATGTCCTCCAATGTCACCGGATGAAGCAGACTTCTCAGGCAGCGGTGCAGCCTTGACTTGGCTTTTACAGAAAGATCATCCTCGCCACTGTCGCCATTTTCACAGTGAAATCGTAAGAGCAGATAAAATCAAAGGAAAAGGGGAAGGGAAGAGAGGGCTAAAGAGACTCACCTGATCTCCACTGGCAACGTTTCCAGTAATACAGGAGAGGATTGAGGATAGTTTGCGGGGACAAGCAATTTCAAGGGCTCAATTGGTTGCTGCAATAGGTGAAGAGCCATAAGATACCAGAAAGAACATTGCCAAATGTGAAGATACGTGCTGTTGATGCAAATACAACGAGTCAAAGCTTACCATCGGTGAGATGGAGGCCGCGTTAAACGAGAACTTCATTATGGTCCTTGCATTACCATCTGGAATAATCGCTACATCAGTATCGACTAGCTGCTGATTTATCGTTCTTACTTCCTCCCGGAGAGCTTGATTTCTCTGTAACACAATATATTGCAGAGTTAGAGCAGTGAAGCTTCTGCTCGTGAGTTGTCCCTGTCCCAGGAAGTTACAGCTAGGACAGTCAAACCTGTCTAAAATTCTTCTTATCCATAAAAACCTTAAATCTTTTACGGGTTGTTTGCTTCATGGATTTGAAAAATGAGGGTTTTGGCAAAACCTGGGTTTTGGAAAACCATGGATATATGGTGGATTTGTTGGCATTATGGATTTGAACAAGTTCATTGTTTGCTTGTTGGATTTGATTATGGATTTTGCTTGATTAGAATTGTGGATATGAAACAAAAATTACCTTATTAACCTTATCTAATTATATATCTATTATAATCCAAATTTTCCATTAAAAACGAATCCAATACATACAAAGAAATTTTACTCTTTACCACAACTTTGTAAACTAATAATTCAACTATAAATATAGAAATGCATCACAATTTGGTAGTAATTAACAACTAATCTATAATGTACACAATATTGTGTATCAATTGTAACAAGTACGTCAAATGAACACATATTCATAGGCATCGAACACGTAATCAAAAGCGTCAAAGACTTATTCAAAAGCATTGAAGTTGTATTCAAAGTGGTTTGCCCTTGTGTAAATATAATACGACATTACAACAAAATAAAAAATAATTATACTTAAATACGTCAACATTCGAACGTGTATACTTGAATCCAACTAATAATATTAACATGCATATTTAAATAAAATACAACATTACAACTTTATATACGGGGTATTCCAATTGTTTTGGGTTACATTCCATCGATTTGCATACCCATGAAAATAGGACATATTTTATCTAAAAAATATATATGAGGGTAGATGGGTAAAATACCATCATGGATTTTAATCCATCATCCAAATCCCACCTCAAGAGGTGGAACTTGTAAATCCGTGGGGCCCACGGATTTGGTCTCTCAAAGTCCATGGACCCCACGGATTTGATTCTCCTAATTCCATGAAGCAAACAATGGACTTTGCTCAAAGTCCATGATGAATGCCCAAATCCATGATGAAATCCATGAAGCAAACGACCCCTTAGTTGAAAGAAGGCATATACCTCAACCCCAGCAGTTGATATGTCGGGATCAAATGAGGAACTGGAAACCACATCAAACCAGCGATTCATCTTCTTTCCCCCAGGGATACGATCACTCAAGTTAACTATTGACCAAATCTCATCCACAGAAGCACTTAATGCTTTGCCGGATATCCGCTGAACCTGTGAAATTGAAACGAGTTAGACTTTACCAGGTTCTCCTGCCTTCTATAGAAAAATGAATAGGAAAATGGAAGTAAGATTGGAAGTATGAGCAAATTACATACCAAATTAACCAAGTGGCTGAAGGGTTCTTCTGTCAATTTCCTACCAGAAACAGTCGCAGCTAAAGCTTGATCAGTCATTATGCCCGTCTTCTCTAGCTCCGAATCAGAGGAAGAAGGTGGTAGTGTAGCAGACTTAACATGTTGATTATGCACAACTGCTTTCGCAGGAGCTGGTTTCTGATGAAGAACCTTTGATGTCCCAGTACTTTTAACATCCACAGATTTTTGGGGCTTTTCATTAGCAAAAACCTGCTTCTGCTGCTGCTGCAGCTGTGTTTCCTGTTTCACTTTGACATCTAGCATTCCTTGGCGTTTCTGAACTTTCTTCTCCGGTTTTTCAAGCAGGAAAGCTTCCCCTGACTTCTGTGGGCGCTTTGGACGCCCACGCTTGGGGGGAACAACAGGTCCCGAGTGAGAGGTTGTGGTAGTACTTTGATTCGGTACATTATCGCACAAGTGCGGTGGGAGGACATTACTAACAGTTGGCCCATGAAAACTACCAGCTGGAGGCTGTGGATGTGGCTGTCGAGCATCTTCTGCAGGAAGCATATTAGAAGAGGAAGACTGCCCTGAAGTGAACGACAAACAAGCTGGCTTTCTTGGCGTCGACTGCTGAACTACAGAATACATCCACTTCTTGATGAAAGCCAGCTTCTCCGTGGATTTATCGCTGTTTGGATGATTCAAGAACTTCATGCAAAATGCTAGCTTTTCCATGGTTTTATGATCAACAGACCTCTGCTGGAAATCCATAAATAACAAATCAATCAGAAGGTTGGTCATACGAAGGGGTGAAACTAAAGTAACAAAAATTGAGAACTCTCCCGAGTGAAAGTCTCACCTGTCTCAATACGTTTATCACCATGTGGCACATCCTCTTCGCCTCTGCTGTTTCAGCCTGCAACTAAACCAAACGAGGAAGACACTCATTTCGTATGGTCGTGACAAACAGAGTAATGTAGAGAAAGTTTTGACAATCTGAAACGAAGTGGGTACCTTGAGATGCGATTCATTTTGCCGATTCAAAGCCATGGGACTCGGGGTGCCTACACAGTCACAATAAATCAAGTACTGCTATCACAAATCCGTTATAGAACCAGGAAAGCAGGGAAACAGAAAAACATGCACTCCATCTTGATTTCAGAACTACATCAGCACATCAACCAGCAGAAACTCTCTGTGGAATTCCAATCGTGAATGAACAAAGTAGCCTTATAACTCACGCAGCTCAACATCAATCGGTTTGCCCTAATTCATTGGAAATGGAAGAGCTCAACGTTAAGACTTCTGCGCCAAATGGCCTTTAATCTATGTACCATGCGTTTGCAGTGTTGGCGGCGGCGGCGGCTGCTGCCGCGTACAATTTTGGGGATGATGGTTTGTGCTGTTGTTGTACTGGGCATAGAATTGATCGAGCAAGCTACTGCTCATTGCATCGGGCTTTTCTTCCCGCGGCGCCATTGACGAGAGCGAAGACGAAGAACATCGTTCGACCATTGGTGAACAAAAAAGCTGAGAACGGCGGCGGCCGGGCAAGGTTTCAAAGGTAAGCTACCCTAACCTGGAAAACTGTGTCGCGGTACACAAGTGCGGTGGTCGGAGAACAAGTACGCGGAGGTTGTTGCAAGAGATTGGTTGATTACTTGCGAGAGAAGGCGAAGGGGAGCAATGTGACGACGCGTACCTGCTTGGCGATGGAAAAGGCCGCGTCGCGGGGGTGTGAAAACTGAAAACTGACTCAGGGAAAGTGAGCGACCCCATTTTATAATGCAACGCAATCCCCAAGGAAAAAAAACAAGAAGAACGAATTAATCCGCTTTCGAAGAGGTAAATAGCATAAACTCAAAGAATTCAATCCAGTTTTGGTACCCGCACTATGCAAAAATTACCGAATAAGTCCCGAAAGAGAATATTCTGACTTTATGCTGTGAGTATGACATTTATAATGTGAATCATAGTTAGTAAAATTTAGTTTAATACATAGTTTATATTAGGGCTGGCTATTTGGTCCGGGCTATTTGGTTTTATCCAAAACTGGATCGTATAATCCGGAACGGAACCGGATAGCTAACAATCCAATCACTCTTTGAGGCCTCAGGTCATTCAATTCCCCACAAACTCAATCTATCAAGACCGAACCGGATCAAGACCGGACTGTATCCAATCCAATCTTTGGTCCTTATATTTCCGAAAAGACAAGAATTGAACCGGATCAATTCGAGACAATTTAACCGGACCGTATAGCCACCCCTACTTTAAGTTATTGGAATGGTTCTAAAAATTGACAATGTACGAAAGTAAATAACACACAGATTTAGGTGGTTCACAGAGATTACACGACCTAATCCTAATGCAACGTGAAAAGGAAAAAGGTTATATACCAGGCCCTAAAGCGTAAAAGAAATGTGTTTTTTAAGCCCATATGCTCAAACTGGGCGCTTCGCCCATGTACTCTAACTTGCTAATCGGGCAGCGAGACCCCTGTGACTTCCAATTGAATGCAGGTATATGTCTTCAAGTCAAAGCAACAAATTTCCAACTTGACTTGAATTCTCCCCCAAATATCATATGTACTCAGACTCTCCTCTTGAATTCTCAACTGCTTAGAACATTAAGGGTTTATGGCTTTCCTTGAAATTTTAAGATTTCACAACAAAAAGGAGTATTTTTCATTGTTTTGGTTAAAATCTAAATCTTCAATTCTCCTTTAAAAACTTACTTCCAAAATTCTTTCAAACTCTCTACTTCTATATATCAAAATGAAAGCCAACTCATTAGTTTTATGTGAAGATCAATTGTTAATATTGAAAATCATGGAAACTTGAACATGCTGGTGTTATCTGTTGAGACAAGATTTTCATGTAGCAGACTCCCCATCGAATTTTTCATACAATAGAGGAATTTATCATTGAGGGAGATTGATGTGTTGGTAAGGTGTTTGGCCGATGGCGGGTGGAGTTTGACACTCTAGAACATATGCTCTTGTTTTCCCGATGGAGAAGGTCCTTTGGGACATTGCGGGGCAAAAACTCCTATGTTTTTTGGGCAATTATGCAACGGGATTGCAGAAAGTGATGCAATTGGTGTGTCTGTTAAGGGGAATCTGAAAATCACGGATGAGCTATGTTTAAGCTTAAACAGTTTCGATTGGATTACTTGGGTTTGTCAATACTATTCGCAGGTAGAGAGGTGGCACAATTCTGATGCAGTTGGTTCCTTTGTTGGTGTTGTTTGGTTGATTCTCACTCGGCGACAAGTTTGGTGGTGTGTGTTGATGGCCTTGGTAGAGTTATCGATGTTGTTCGATGTGGTCTATAGGAGCATTCAACTTGGATTTCGGGAGATGCTAATTGTGGGGATGCCAAAGTGCCATTATTGATTAGGTGAATTTGACATCAGATCGGCATAGTTAGAGATGTTCAATTATGGAAGAAGCTAAGTGGCTAAGATTCGGCTGGATAATTTTGAGTTACCAGCATGTTTGGTTTGTTGGTAGGAATAATAATAGGGTAGCTCATATGGTGGCTAATAAGGTCCCTCCTTTGTTTTATAGCTCTTAATAGGTTGTAATTTTTGTGGTTGGTTCGGTCATGAATCTTAAACGTTACATAGTCTTGGTTATTCAACTGATCTTCCGACAACAACAACAACAAAAATGTCTTGATAATAATAAATTTTGGATACAAATTTCCACTAGCTAGTAATGCACTCGACTCTAAAACTAGTTTTAAGACATCAAATTTTAAAT